TTGAGACAAAAAATCAGAAAAAATAAGTTAAATATAAACCAAGAAATTTAACTTAGTTATCCAGAAATCTAACTGATCCCGAAGTTATCAGGGAAGGTTTTGAAGGTCTTTTTTTTATTTTTGATCCGATTGTGGGGACTGAACTCTGGGCCTGGGCGCTGTCCCTCAGCTCTTCAGCTCAAGGCTAGCGCTCTACCACTTGAGCCACAGCGCCACTTCCGGCTTTTTGCTTATGTGGTGCTGAGGAATCGAACCCAGGGCCTCAGGCATGCAAGGCAAGCACTCTACCACTGAGCCACCTTCCCAGCCCCCGGTTTTGAAGGTTTTGAAGTCTTTCTTTTCAATATTCTTTCAGTTTTCAAAACTTTCCACATTCAATGTTCTTTCAATATTCAGGATCTGATATTCTTTACAATATTTAAAATCTTCTTGAGATGGTTTAGGAATCTTTTTGTGGATAATTAGGTAGGAAGACACCTCTTCTATAGGATTTTATGGATGTAATGGTTTCAAAATAATCAGAAATAAGAAGAGACCTATTCATACTAAGAAGCTACTGACAGGCACTACAGTGCACCTGATGCTGATGATATTTTCTCATCTTGGAGAGCTCAGGACCAACTACATAGATGGGCTAATGATTCTAATAAAAATATTGTTACCTGTCATTTAATGAAGTTTTACATTGACCTATGTGTTTTAATTTATTAGTTTAGTGGATTTATAGACCAAATTTGGGAGGCCAGGACTATCTTTACCTCCATTGCTTAGATAGGATTCTGAAACTTGGAGATGGTATATGAAGTTGCTCAAACTAGAAAGTATGCATATGATCTGGCTAAATGCTAGCCACTGCAATCCACAGTCTGAATATTCTTAACTGTTTGCACTCAGCAATCTCAAGCAATAAAAACAACTGGAAAGTAATGTGATGGATGTAATGTGTTTGGGGGCAGAAAGGAGGAAGGGCTGAAATAGGATCTTTCAGTTTTGCTATAAACACAGTTCTTTTATATTCTAGTTTGAAGAACTTAAGCCTCTTGTGGAAGAGCCTCAAAATTTAGTCAAAGATAACTGTGAGCAGTTTGAGCAGCTCGGAGAATATAAATTCCAGAATGCGTAAGTGATTTTGTTATTTGCTAGTTTTTTCTTGATCATTTGTTTCCTAAGTCAGTAAGTAGGCTATATGCCATGTGCTATTTATTTATTTATTGCAGGTACTAGAGCCTGAACTCAAGGCCCAAACTAGTACTATACCATTTCAGCCATAGCTCCACTTTCCTTGCTAGTTAACTGGAGCTGAGTTTACAGGTTTTCCTGCCTACACTGGCTTCAAACTGCAGTCCTCCAATTGTAGCTGGGATTACAACTGTGAGCCATCTGCACTTGAGTGGCATGTATCTTTTAATAGGAAAGATACATTATGTATTTTGAATATCTCTTTATTCAGGAATTCTTGAGAGTAGTGATCAAATAATTTACAGGAGGGAGAGGCCTATACCTGTGCAGAGTATAATAAAACTGAATTTTTGGGTCTGAGAATATGTAGGTCACAAGGATTGATACAAAGTTTGGTACATCAGAACTGAGGATGTCCCTTGAACGTTAAGAGAGACTTTATGAGGAAATACGCTACAGCACGATTTTGCTGAGTAGGCAGTAGTATGCATTGTGTATCAGAACCACAATAGGTTAGACACAGCTAAACACAAATATATAACAAAGAGATTTAGATACATGTGTGAATATTACTATTTGAGGAAAGTGATATTTGAGAGATATACCTAGACTTTTATGGTTAAAACCTGTTTTCCTATGGCATTTACCACCTAAAAGAGATAGAAACTTAATAATCTGATGGAATAATATTCCAATTCATTACCACCTTCGGGTGAAAGTAAAATCCAGATGTCATAAGGACCATAACATTCATGGCAGTTCATATACATAGTTTGACTTCTTCCTACTATAGATGTTAGGGATAACAAAAATGATCAACTATAGTTCCTTCAGAGTAGATTGCAGTCATGTATATTGACCTTCATTGGTGATATTCTTTACAAGCAATTAATATATGTCTGATAAATTCCTAGGTTACCTGCATATTGTATTTCTTTAAGTTTAATTGAGGTCTCATCTTACTGAGTAAAATATACTTCCTCCCAGTTTATTTTACATCTTCAAAGTTGATTACAGTGCTCATGTGTGTTATGCATCTAATAGAATTTATTGGAAAAACTAAGTAATAATAACTATGGAAACCTAACTATAATAAGTCAACTCACTTTTCTAAGATTATAATAGAGATCTGAGATGAAGAGTTTATTGTACAGTTTGGTATACAAGGCCACATTCCAGTAGTTACTCAGATGAATATAATTTGATAAACTTAAAAATAAAATTATGTCAGTTGATCTTAGCTGAATTTTCTTTTCTTGATGTATTATATTAGAACGTAACATTTTCTTGTCTAGATAAAAACTGTGGACTGTTTCTTTTAAATAGGCTTGTAGTTCGTTACACCAAGAAAGCTCCTCAGGTGTCGACTCCAACTCTTGTAGAGGCTTCAAGAAACCTCGGAAAAGTGGGCACCAAGTGTTGTAAACTTGCTGAAGCACAGAGACTGCCTTGTGTTGAAGACTATGTGAGTTTTTGAGAATATCATGAAGTTAATAATTATGATTTGTTTGTCTTTAGCTAGTGATAAATGTAACTTTCAGAGGCAGGTGTGGACTAACCTGTGTGTATCTGTATATGTAAGTAGTGTGTGTTTATAGTATTACCAACAGTCTGAACTTGTTTACCTATATTATCTTGACTCCCAAGTTTAGGATTTAGTTAAGATAACAAAGGCAATAACTTGTTTTGAGTAAAAAGAGTCAATTCTCAGTGTTATTTCTTCAATTTTCAGTTTCTTTTTTTATAATTTAATTTTATTGTCAAGGGGTTACAGTTACATATCTAAGGTAGTGAGCACATTTCTTGTCTGATTGTGTCAGTATAAGACTAAATCTTCCTCACTCTAACACATTTTGAGGCTATATCATCTCAAATGATTTTCTTAAACTATTCTAAATATGTAGAGGTATTACAAACAAAGATGATTGTGTGTGTGTGTGTGTGTGTGTGTGTGTGTGTGCACATTACTCTGGACCTCCTGCTCTCAGCTTTTGTGCTCATGGCTGGTGCTCTACCACTTGAGCAACACTGCCTCAATCAACTTTGGATTCAAAGTTGTAAGTGGCACTATGTTTAGAAAATGAATGTTGATGAAACATTTTCAACTTTGCTTCTTTTGAAGCTATTTGTGCTTTTCCCCTGCTCTTTAGCTGTCCCTGGTGCTGAACCGGTTCTGTGTGATGCATGAGAAGAACCCAGTGAGTGAGAGAGTCACTGAATGCTGCACTAAGTCTTTGGTGAACAGGCGACCTTGCTTCAGTGCACTGCCAGTGGATGAAACCTATGTTCCCAAAGAGTTCAACGCTGAAACGTTCACCTTCCATGCTGACTTTTGCGCACTTCCAGAGACGGACCAACAGCTCAAGAAACAAATGTGAGTGGTATTTCATAGATGTCAATTGAACAGTTTTTTTTCTGATATAGTGATTATAGTCCTTAAATAAAGTATTCTAGTATTTGGCCTTATTAACATGACAAAAGTTTCAAGAATACAATGGGTGGTTATAATTAACAACGAATAATTAGGATAATACTGTGATTAAAAGCCACAGTAGGATAAAATCATAGAATAGACTGGTAGAAAAGCTATGAAACAAGCCTATGAATTTGTGATGATAGAAAATTAATTGTAGAAATCATAGAAGAATTTTTTTCTAGTCATGAATGATCATGTGAAGTTGATATCATAGGCAAGATTTTGTCTTTTGAGAATGGTTTTGAGAGTGATTTGCTAAAAAAATATAAAAATGTAAATTTTGAGAATCAGTGTCTTTTTACTGTCATGAAGTTTAGCATATTCTGAAATTAACAGCAGAAAAACTTTTGTTATCTTTGGTGGCAAGTTATCAGGATCAGACTTAAAAGTAAAAGTAATAATATAAAATTCATGGTGTTCTCTGTCTGTCTGTCTGTCTGTCTGTCTGATTTGAGAGTTTTCTCTTTTATGTGGTTTCCTGAGAGTTTTCTAAACCAAAGTGGACATTAAATTTTACCTTGTTTACATGTTCTTCTGTGAGAACCACCAGCTCCCCTTTTTTGGGTAGTGTTATTTCTTGTAGCCTCCCAGACATTAACTTTGAATATCAAACACGAATACTGTCACAGCAGAAAGATCTTAAATGAAGTCTAAATTAATTAAAAATTTTAAACATCAGCTTGGCATTGGTGGCTCACCTCTGTAACCCTAGCTGCTCAGGAGGCTGAGATCTGAATATCATAGCTCTAAGTTAGCCTAGACAGGAAAGTCTGTGAGATACTTATCTCCACTTAAACACCAAAAAAAGCTAGAAGTTAAGCTGTAGTTCAAGTGATAAAGCATGAGCCTCAAGTGAAAATTTTCAGGGACAGTATTCAGGCCTGGAGCTCAAGACCTCCCAGATTAGTAAACAAAATTAAGCATTATTTTGATTTATTAATAAAATTCACCATGGCATTACTTCTAAGTCTGAGTAATATCTAAGTGCAGTTTGAGTAATATCTAAATGTCAATTGTTGGAAACTTCATTAAATACTAAGTGTCTTGCATTGAGTTTTTCATTTGATCCCATCACCACGCCTAGGAGAGTGGATTTTAATACAATACCATGTGGAGGAGAGGATGAGGTAACAGTGAATGCCTTAGTCTCATCTATAGTAGCTTGGCTCCAAGATTTGTAGTCTTCATTGACTGCCATCCTTACCATCTCTCCTTTTCTTTAAATGAGTATACTGATTCCTCTGTTTCTCCTTTTGTGTTCAAACACAGAGCAATTGCAGAGCTGGTGAAACACAAGCCTACTATAACAAAAGAACAACTGACTGCTGTTTTGGGGAAAGTTGCAGCTTTACTGGAAACTTGCTGCAAGGCTGCTGACGTAGAGGCCTGCTTCTCTGAAGATGTACGGGAGTTCTTCTCCTTATTATGTCTAATTTCCATCTCTGGGCTTAGGGCTTAGGCCTTTATGTACTGAAGGGCATGCAGAACAGAGAGCTGATTTGACATACAGTCATCTTACACGGGAGTTCTTGGCTTTTAACTCCTGTTGTGCTGTATGTAGCACAGTGTTAAATATTTATAATACCTTATCTGTTCCAAGTTTGTGATGCTTATGCATATAGAGGGAAGTATCTGTATAGCCTTACATATTTTGATCAGTGAAACAAATTAAGTGTGTCTTTATACTTAAAAGTGCTTTGAGTTTGTGGTTAAAATTTACTAGGTAAGATTTACAAATATCTGAATTATTTGCTATTCTTCCCTCCTCAAAGCCTAACAGTAATTTTTCATCCCTTTTTGGATTTGGCTATGAGACAGATTCCTTCCATAAATCCTAATAGTAAGCTGAAAGTAAAGACTGTGACTCATATGACATCATTTTTGTATACACCAATTCATATGTAAATTATAGTTAAAAATTCTGATATGAATGATATTATTTTCTCAACATCTGTTATTCTTTGTCTTCAGGGTCCAAAGGTGGTTGCTGCAAGTCAAGCTGCCTTAGCCTAAAATACCACAACCACAAGCATCTCAGGTGATTATACTTTTGCTTTGAAAACAGAAACCTACTAATTATAGTTATCATTGTCAAATTGTAAACATTGGCCATTTGCCAAGACTCATATAAACAACTGCTAGCCACTTTTCCTAGCTTGTTCTATCTATATTGATTCATTAAAACTCAAAATAGTAGTCATATTGTTAGTCATTATTATTTCCATTTTTTTAGATGAGAAAAGAGCGTATAGATAAAGACCTAAGTGAAGTAATTTACCCAAAGAACAACCACTCTAGTGGGAAGAGGAGCTAAAGTTCATTTCAACCTCACCCTTAAACATTAACCATTGTCTTACATAAGGTCATGGTGTGATCCATGAACCATCCAATGAACCATCACTGGAGTAGTATAGGTACTAGCTGACTTATACGAAAGGGCTTTTATTTAGGCCAAAAAGCAGCTGAAGATAAAGTATTTCATATGACTCAAATAAGTATTTTCCAAATATAGATTATTGGGGGATATGATGAATTTATTTCAAGTGAGTAATATTATTAAAACTTTATTTAGAATCTGCACCAAAGCCTGGAATAGCTGCTGTGCATCTCACAACCTTTAGTCCTATGATAATGTGATTTCCTCCCGTCCTAAGTGGGAAGGTATTCTTCCTAGATTTCCTACATTCACAAGATACCTTTTTTTGCAATAACTTAGACAAGCAGCAAGTAGTTAGACAATAGCTCTGAGGAGACATGAGCCCTTATTGGAAGCTTGAGGAGGCAGAAGGCTCCTGCTGTGATGTGCTGAAGAGAATACATTACATTTGTCCCTGTGTCCTCAGCCTAGACCAGCAGAAGGAGAGCTAAGTTAAGGCTAGGACAGGCTTAAGTTGCTTTCCTTGGCTTAAATGGCAGAAAAACAATCAAAGCAATTCAGAATTTGTCCTTAACAGATGTGGAAAATACAAGCAGCACTTAATATTTCTCATTTTGTTTTTCAGTCTACCCTGAGAAAAAGAAAACGAGAAATGGAGACTCAAAGCTTATCATCTGCTTTTCTTTTCTGTTGATGTAAAATCAACACTATCCAAGAAACATAAATTCTTGAAATATTTGGCTTCTTCCCTCTGCACTTGAATAAAAATGAAAAGTCTAATACTGTTGTCCAGGATTGTCATTTTCCAAATATGTGTTTTCATCCTGAAAATTTTGTACACTCTGTGAGAGTTTCATTTTTTTTCATTTATTCTACTTCTTACAAATCCATTAGACTTTTTTTATTGTGAAAATACTGAACAGAGGGGTTACAATTACATGGGCAAGATAATGAGTATATTTCTTATCAAGCATTGTAGCCTCCTCCTTTGTTTCCCCTTCCCATCCAAATCAATTAGACTTTTATCTTCATTTAATCACCAAAAAGATACTGGAAGCATGGGTCAAATAGCAGAGACTGGGTCTTCTACCACTCACTGCTATAAGCAAAAAAGCCAAGTGAGAGTATGAGTTTAAGCCTAAGTATTAACAAAAAATAAAATAAAACAAAAATACCAACCAAACTCCAAACAACAACAACAACAAAAAACAACAAAATCAACCAACCATCAACCTACCAATCATCAAACAAACAAAACCTTCCCATAATAGACCGGCCTTATGACCTTTGCTAAACTATTCTGTTCTTCCAAAGGATTTATCATTATACAAGAGAGATACTTGCACAGTCATGTTTATCATAGCACTAGTAGCAAAAACCAAGAATACCACTATCTAGTGAATGGTTAAATAAAATATGATGTGTGAATATATAGTATCTATCTATCTATCAAGTGCATGTACATATATATGTATGTCCATTGATACTATTCAGTCATAATGAAAAAATGCTACTCATTCAAGCTGAATGAGAGAATGATGCACTGAATACAAGCTCCAAGCCCCAACACTAGAACAAACCAAACAAACAAACACACCCCCAAACAAAAAAAGAACATTATTATGTTATTTGAAAGAAGAAAGAAAAACTGAGAATCATACTTAGAGAGAGAAGCTAAGCTCTGAAAGGCAAATATCCCATGTTTTCATTTATATATATATATATATATATATATATATATATATATGCAGCTTAAATGGAATGATGGCTATGATGGTAAATAGTAATAATGTACATGTATATAGAAGTAGACTGGTGGGAAAGAAGTGGGATAGAGAATAGCAAAGGACAAGGTGCTAGGGGTTCAACAGGATCAAAGTTCATTACATATATGTGTGATGACAGTGTAACAACATATTAAATACTGTTGGAAAAAGGCAGGGATGAGGGATGGTGGTGAAGGGAATAGTATAGAATGGGTGAGATTGTTCAAATAACAGTTCATACATTCATAAACATCAGAATGAAACCCCCTGACACAATTTTTGTATGCTAAGAATGACAAAAATTATTTTCTCAGCTTTGAAGGCTGGAGAGATTAAGATCCAGCTTGTAACAAAGTTGAACTTCTGGTGATGGCTTTCTTCCTGGCTCACCTACAGCCTTCTTTTTGCTGTGTCCCTCTTCACAGGGACAGCAGGAACTTTGGTACTATTTTCACCCTGACTGCCTATTCTCTACTTTTCCTAAACAACTGTCACTAAGAACAATGCATTAGGGGTTTAGGACTTCAACATAAAAACCTTATGAATCTGGTTGGCAATGGCTCATGCCTGTAATCCTACCTATTCAGGAAGGAAGCTGAGACCTGAGGACCATAGTTTGAAGCCAACAAGAACAGGAAAGCTCTTACCTTTAGTTATCTAACAAGAAGCTGGAACTAGAGCTGAGCCTCAAGTGACAGAACACCATCCTTTAGAAAAAATGCTAAAAGAAAGCACCCAGGCCTTGAGTTTAAGCAATTTTGGGAAAGCCTAAACATTTGTCCATTGCAAAATCTCTGGATTAAAAAAAAGGGAGTTTCTGACTTAACAACTGGCTACCATTCAACTCTACTAAGTGCTATGATTTGAATGTATGTATCCCTTTAAAATTAATATGTAGTGACCTAATACTCATGTGGTTTAAGAAGTCATAAGACCTCCGCATTCACCAGTGAATTAGGGCTTTTACCAATGAGGTCATGGGTGGTGGTATAGTCCCTTTGCTTTTACCTGTCCTCTGCTTTGTGGAGATACACAGGGCCATCTTTGAAGAATTGCCTTTCACCAGATATGATTTCCTGGCATCTTGTTTTTGTATGTTCTAGCCTTGAGAACAGAGATAAACACGTCTATGATTTATAAATTTCTTAGTCTCAGGTATTTTGCTAGAGCAGCACAGAGAAAGACATGGAGGAAAAGAAGTGTCAGCAATGATGGCCCTAAGGCCATCTTATCCATTCATGAGTATGGAGTTCTTAACCTACCCAAATGTCCTTCCTGTCACTCTCACATTGGATATTAGACAAAGAATTTGTAAGGAACATTCCCTTTGGTATTTCTTACACGGTGTCACTGCTGTAAAAACTTGGGAGAGATTGACTCTATATGAAAAATCATCAGAAGACAAGTGTTTAGGAAAGAATATTTTTGTGTAATTATTGTTTTAGGAATTTTAGGAGAAATTCTCAATACACATTTCCCTTAAGTATGCTATAATTTTTATAAGGACCCTATTTATAAGCACCCATGCCTGCCTATCAGAATCAGCTAGCACAGTTAAGAGAACATGCTGTTAATGGAACATACATACATATTTTGTGAAATTAATTTTCAATTGGTGTTCCACAAGTTTTTTGCTCTCTCCTTGACTCACATTGATATTCTATCAGGCTTATTGACCTTGAAATACTTCTGCTTTTTAAAATTTAATAGGCAGACTGGTTGCCTAAACACACACACATCTCTCACACACACACATACACACACACACACACACACACACACACACAGTAGAAGATCTACCTGGTGAGATCTCTTTACTTAATCATAAGGAGGACTATTATTATTATCATTTTATAGATGATGAAATAAACCCCAGATTAAATTATTTGCCTAATATTATATGGCTAATAATTGGTAAAGCCAAGAGTAAAACCTTTGTGGTTATAGTAGGCCCAGTTTTAATATGCCGTATTGTCACTTGGTAGTTTCATGGATTTATGTAAAGGCAAAAGAATCAGAGGAATGGAAAATTGTATGTTGTGAACTCTGCACTTTGGACTAAACCTTGGACAATTACACATATGGATTTAGGCTTGTTTGTAGTTAAATACTTCCCAAAGTTATAGAACAAATAAACGACAGGGCAAATAGTCCAACCTAGTCTACAAATCCACATGCTTAACCATGACTGCCCTGCTTTATGTGTACATGCTATTTGGAATTCTATGTGGATTTATGAATGTTTGTGATATTTAAATAATTATAGTTTGGTATATAACATCTGTTTTCCAGATGTTATAAATTTCCCCTCAACCTTTGGATAGATGAGGGAAATGGCTTATCCAGCCATGAAGCCAGCAATGTGTGTAGTGATTATCATAAAAACTAAAAGAGAATTTGTAAAGTTATAAAGATCTCTGTGTAGCTAGGTGTGATAGCACACACCTGTAATCTCAGCATTTTGAAGGATGACATAGAGGAGGATACCAACTCTAGGCCAGTGTTGGGTACACAAAATTCTAAGCAGCCTGAGTTTTTAAATAAGTTTTTTTTGTATTGTAAAAATACTGTACAGAGGGGTTACAGTTACATGAGCAAGGTAATGAATACATTTCTTATCAAGCACTGTTGTCTCCTCCTTTGTTTTTCCCCTACCATCCCTTCCCTCCCATCTCCACAACTACACTCCCCCCTCCCCTGCCTAAATTGTAAAGTTTGTTTTTCAACATAGCTTCTTGTACATCTCATTGTTGCAATGGGTCAACTTGTATCCCTGTTTAAACAATTTGTTTTTTCCCTTCCCCTCCCCAAATTATACTAACATGAAATACAGTGAAAACAGGGGTTATACCACGGAGGTCATACCCAAAGCAACAAAAAAAATCATGTGTTACCTTATAAATACATTAGAAGCAATAGCAAGAAAGAAAAAAAAAACACTTGTGTCTTTATCTTGGGGTTCATTTCGCTTAACATCAACTTATCTGACCTTTTCTGCTTGACTCAGACATATACTAGTTATTGCAAATAAGGGAAACCACGGGACCTATGTTTCTTTGGGCCTGGCTTACTTCACTTAATATAATTTTTTCCATGTCTTTCAATTTCCTAACAAATGGGGCAATGTCGTTCTTCCTGATGGAGGCATAGAATTCCATTGTGTATATATACCACATTTTCTTGATCCATTCGTCTACTGAGGGGCATCTGGGTTGGTTCCATATCTTAGCTATGGTAAATAATGCTGCAATAAACATAATTGTGCTGGTAGCTTTAGTATGGACCTGTTTGTGATCATTTGGGTAAATGTCCCAAAGTGGGATTGCTGGGTCATAGGGGAGCTCTATGTGGAGTCTTTTGAGGAACCTCCATACTGCTTTCCAAACTGGTTGAACAAGTTTATACACCCACCAACAATGCAGTAAGGTTCCCTTCTGGCCACATTCCCTCCAGCATCTCTTATTAGAGTTCTTGATTATAGCCATTCTAACTAGGGAGAGGTGGAGTCCCAATGTGGTTTTGAATTGCATTTCTTTTATGGCTAGAGAGGTTGAGCATTTCTTCCTGTGTGTATTGGCCATTCTTATTTCCTCTTCAGAAAAGTTTCTCTTTAAGTCTTTAGCCCACTTATTTATTGGGCAGTTGTTTTCTTTGAGCACCATTTACTGAAGAGGCTGTCTTTCTTCCATTCTATTTTTTAAGCCCCCTTATCGAAGATTAGGTGGCTATAGATCTGTGGGTTCATTTCTGGATTTTCAATTCTATTCCATTGGTCCTGAGGTCTGTTTTTGTGCCAGTACCAAGCTGTTTTGATTACTATGGCTTTATAATAGAATTTGAAATTTGGTATTGATATTCTTCCAGCACTGTTCTTTCTGTTAAGGATCATTTTTGCTATTCGGCATCTTTTATTGTTCCATATGAATTTTTGGATTGCCTCTTCTATTTTCTTGAAGAATGAGGTAGTAATATTGATAGATATCACCTGAGTTTGTTTTAAGATAAAAATAAAAAGATTCCTTAAGAAAAATTGAAAAAAATCTAGACGTATAAATCAAAACAAAAATGAAGAAAAGCAATGAAAAGGGATGAAAAAAAGATGAAAATTCTACCTACCCAAATGAAAAGGAATGAATTGAAACCAACTCAACCTAACCTGATCCATACCATACAAAAACAAAGAAATCAGAGTTTGTAGAAACTGGGATTTGCTAAGTAGAACATCTTCTACTGTCTGAAACACTTGTCATTGAATAAATACATTCACCATTCATTCAACACAGGTTGAGTTTATTTTTATTTTTTATTTTTGTCAGTTGTGGGGCCTGAACTCTGGGCCTTGGCACAGTCCCTCAGCTCCTCAGCTCAAGCCTAGCTCTCTACCGCTTGAGCCACAGCACCACTTCCAGCCTTTACCGCTTATGTGGTGCTAAGGAATCTAACTCAGGGCCTCATGTATGCAAGGCAAGCACTTTACTAATGAGCCACCTTCCCAGTCCCGGTTGTGGAGTCTTGACTATGGGTTAGACTTTGTGAAAGACTTTGAAATATTTTATCAGCACTTAACCAAGTCACACATGTTTGTTTTTTTCATAAATCTGTGTTACACTTTTTCAGAATCAATGCTTCATGAGTGGTTTTCAGCCATTTTTTTCATAGATAATGTAGTTGTTCTCATATGTTTAAGTAAAATTCCCCCTTAAGGGCAAGGGGAGAGCTGCACTTTTCATGAACTTTCTTGGAATTCATTGGTAGACAGGGTCAGCCATCTCATATAAGGGAGTATACAAGAATAGTCCATGTTCCCATGAATGTGGTTATTTTGAAAGGAAATGTAGGGGGGCCACATCTAGCAGAAAATAAACAAAAACTAACATATAAACTGTGACTTCTACTTGTCAAGTATTGAAGGCTTTGCTCATGCTACGGTAATACCTGTCTCTGTTATAAGTGCTATTGATGAAAACCTTCCACTTAAATTTGTGCCTTTCAGGTTAAAACTTCCTTAATCACAACAAAACAAAGAAAGGTTGGATAAGTGGGACTGCATTAAACTGCAGAGCTTCTGCATGGCAAAGAACATAGCTAGCAAAATTAATAGAAAGCCCACAGACTGGGAGAAAACTTTCACAAGCCATGCAACAGACAAGGGCTTCGTATCTAAAATATACTTACAGCTCAAAAACAAATCCCCAAAGAAACAGCCACCCCATTAAAGTGGGCTAAAGACTTAGAGAGAGACTTCTCTGAAGAAGAAATAAGAATGGCTAATAGACATGAAGAAATGTTCAACATCTTTGGCCATAAAAGAAATGCATATCAAAACAACATTGAAATTCTACCTTACCCCAGTTAGAATGGTCATTATCAAGAAATCTAATAACAACAAATTGCTGGTTGGGATGCAGCCAAAGGGAAATGCTATGCATTGTTTGTGAGAGTGCAAACTTGTTCAGCCACTCTGGAAAGCAGTATGGAGGTTCCTCAAAAGACTATACATAGAGCTCCCCTATGGCCCAGCAATCCCACTTTTGGGTATTTACCCAAATGATCACAAACAAGACCACACTAAAGCTACCAGCATAACCATATTCATTGCATCAGTATTTACTACAGCTAAGATATGGAACCAACCCAGATGCCCCTCAGTAGATGAATGGGTCAAGAAGATGTGGTATACATGTATATATATGTGTATATATATGCACAAATTCTATGCTTCCATGAGAAAGAATGATATTTCCCCATTCATAAGGAAATGGAAAGACCTGGAAAAATTATATTAAGTGAACTAAGCAGACCTAATGAAAAGTAGGTTGCATGGTTTCCCTCATTTGTAATAACCTGAATATGTCTCCGATATCCTTAACAAGGGATCACAGTAGCCCAATTGCTAAGTGCATAGGGTCATATATAATGAAGCGTATTAATGTGAACTTCAAGAATTGTAAACAAGAGGTTCTTATTTTGTCCTGTATGTAGTTAGCTCTTTATTTTTATTTCTCTTAGTTTTCTGTACTTTGTGTCTTGTGTATAAGTTTGTTCCATCTGTGGAAGGAAAAGGAAATCACAGAAACGGCAGGAAAAAGGATGAACTAATGTAACATTGATACTCCCTTGACACTAGGTTGGAAATGAACTCTACAACTTGGGGGGGTGGGGGAGAAAGGGATTAGGGAGGAGTAAGTGGGAGAAAATGAGGGACGGGGAGACAATGATTAAAAGCAAATGTACTCATTACTCATCACTGTAAGCCCCTGCTCATCACCTTTTCAATAAAGCTAAAATAAATAAATAAATTTGTGCCTTTATCACTTGCAACATTGTATATAGTTTTAAAATACACACAGATTATATAAAACTTTTAAGAAATGTCTATAATTTTTTCCTTGACCAGTGAGAGAAGAGGCAGAGACAGAAAAATGAAATTCCTGAAGTGAATTTTCTGACAATTTTCCATGTAACTGCAAAAGGAATTTTGAACTGAGCAACACAGCCATTTGCCTTTAAGATATTGAATGCAGAAGGTTAAATTTACAGAATTTTAACACATAATCTTAAAATGTTAATTATGTTAATATTAAATATACTCATGTATAATTCATAATTATGAATCAGAAGTATTTTGGAAGGAGAGCCACCATCAATATCCTAATTATTAAGATTAGTTCTTTATTACTTTTGTGCTAGTACCAGGGCATGAACCCAGGGTCTCATGTTCTTGCTGCTCAGCTTTCTTAAATCTAGTGTTCTACTACTTGAGCTATACAAGCATCATTGTTTTATAAAAGCAGTAAAATGTTTGTCTTTGTGACTTTAGACTTCTCTCAGGAGCAAAGTTTCTTGAATTGCATTTGGAAAAATGCATTCTGAGAAGATCCTCAGGGATGCATTAGTTTCTGCAGTTATCATTTTGAGTGTGAGTGCAATTACTAGTATTCATTTGGCTTGTATGTGCTATTAGCTGTTAACTTATGAAGAATGGGTATTACTTAGGAAGAATGGGTAAGCTTGGGTTTTAGGCATTAGCTATAATTTTCCTTTACTGGAAAAATTTGGCCACAGTATGGGGGTGGGCAATAGGGGAAATTTTCATTTCATGAAAGCAGTTTAGACAAATTCAAGTGACTTTTCACTTCTTAGAAAACATTCAGCTGCTCTGAATAGTGAGTAGTACTTGAGAATCAATTTGCAGTTTAGGAATGAACAAACTTGGGTCGTGGACATGGCTCAACTTGAAAGTGTGAAGCCTTAATACTGTATCTATGTCATGCCAACCCTAATACAAAAGGCTCAGAAAGCACAAAGCCCTTTGTGTTCAAACTTCCTTACTGCCAAGGAAACAAAAAAATCAACCATCCTAATTGGTAGAGTGCCTGGAATGACCAGGCTCTCAAACTTGGATCTCAATTTCCTTCCTCCCATTAATGAAACTTTTCTCTCTAAGGTAGTCCAATGGGAAGCACGAAATCACTGAATACTGAGATAGAAGGAAACTTCAGGACCATTTAAACCAACGTGACTCACATGGTGTGGAGATTGGAGATAGCTATAGGTCCAGGGCCTAAGTTTGTGGCTAGAAACTAGCACTGAGTTAACTTAAACAGCAGAGTAAATAATTGAGAAATTGTCAGTAAATAATTAGGAAATCTGAGTGGGCTTGAGACAAATTCTAAACTCTAGAATTTGCAAGAGGCAAGGTCAGAAAGGGGACCCTTTGCCAAGAGCACTTTGGATGATATGGAAGTTAGAGCTGGGGCAAGTCAAAGGTGATGAGTTAGTGGGTGTGTTAACTAAGCACAGCGCATGGTTGAAATATGATTGTGGAAATAGCTACAAAAGTTCAGTGCAAAGTAAGAATTTTTCTCCTGCTTCTTTCTTTTCTGCCCTTTTCTCTTTTTCTCCCTGCTCTGCTTTCCTCTCCTTTCTCCTTCTCTCCCCTCTCCTTCTCTACCCCTCCCTCCTCCCCTCTCCTCTTTCCCTTCCCCTGCCCTTCTCTTTCCCCTTTCCTCCTTTTTAAAAATATCAGGCAGGTTTTCTGTAGTTTAAGGTAGCCTAAACCTTACAGTATTCCTCCTCTGCCTCCCAAATGCTAGGATAACAGTCCTATATCACCATGTTTGAGTCTTCAAAATATTTTTTTTATCAGTACAGTTTATATTTAACAAGAGCCATTATCTACCTACAGAAATTGCTATTTGGATTTGAGTAGCAAAATAAAAGTAGTTCTAGAAATGTAACAGTGTAGTTCTTCCTGACCCTCAAGAATGTAATCATTGTTAAGTGGCAGTGCACCCAAACAAGTACTTTTTCATGATAACCCATGCAGAGGTCTATTAATCACTTGAACTCTTATCTTTTCCTGCTTAAAAAAAAATCTTTGCCTATCAAAGTTGATAGATGTGAAGATAACTAAAATCTTGACTTTTCAATTATAAACTTTGCAGTTATTTATGTGTCAACATATTTCTTTTGGCCCTTTATGGTGGTGTGTACTTTTAGTAGTTGTCACTTGGGATTTGGTGGCTGGAAGATTGTGAGTTATATGCTATACCAAGAATAGCATGCTGAGTTTAATTCTCAATACTGAGGGGGAAAAAGAAGTAGAGACTTTGCCCATTCACAATTACACAACAGCATAACAACAAAGTTACTGAGAACACATTTTCTTCCTAGAATTTACCTTGTAGCTAATAGTTTTGATTGTTCCATTTCTTTCATGACTGTTTTTAATCTGGCCAAAGCAACAATACTAAAACAAGAAGAATCTTTTTGAATTAAGCATCTTTTCTTTCAACAGTCCTCTGGTTTGAGCAAAACAATACCACTAGCTGCTTCCCTTACCTAACACATTAATTAACATTAGTAGAAGTGATGAGTGAAATAGACTGATGGTATCCCAGCAGAGGATGGAGGAGGGAAAGAGGAAGAGGGAGGTGCAGGATTTCAATGCATGGAAAACCAACCAGATATGGTTTTGATTGTGAGCATGGATTGAGGAGTTTATACTATAGAGTTGAGAGTCTCTTCATTTGTATTCTAGACCTGTAGAAATTTGTATCACACAAAGCAAAGAAAAGCTGAAAATAGATCATACAGTCTTCACTGTCATTTAAGAACGATTGTAGTTTTCTCCCCAACAGAAAAATCATTAAAAAAAAATCTAACTCAAAAAGAGTTAGAGGAAACCAATCATGAAGTTTGGTAGGCATTTAGCTTCATGGTACTGATACCCCCTGGGGCAGAAGCACTGTCCAGTGGCAAGATTAACCAAGGGCATGCTGACCAAAGGACACTAATTACCACTGCTGAAGTAATCTTTTCTATCTGCACTTACACAAAAGGCTGTATCTAGCACTCTTCGTTTAAATATTTGCATTTACTGACATGCCAAAGGTCTTCTTTGGTGACTAAACATAAAGTTTCAAGACCTGAATAACAGGCTATGGAGAAATAACCAATACTTTTGTGGCTTTGTTCTTCTCAGTATACAATGTACATGCAGTATTCTGTGAGTGATTTCAAAGAAAAATGTAAAAATTCTTATTTTGAAAAAAAATCTACAAAATCCAAATATTCATAAGTTTCTTATTAAGATAAATTTAATGCTGGAGGTGGTGATACAAAATTGTAATTCCTGCAACTTAGATAGAGGAAGACCATGAGTCTGAGGATTTTCCAGGCAAATTTAGTGAGATCCTTCTCTCTCTCTCTCTCTATCCATGCTTCTGCATGAGGCCCTGGGCTCAATCTCCATTGTCACCTCTTGCCAAAAAATTACTCATGCAGTATGTTCTAATTAAATTAAACTTTCTTCACTATCTATTAATATAAGTTCATCCAACCACAGTAATCTTCTAAAGGAAAGTTTCTTTCCAATATTTCAATTTTATATTTTAAAGCTGTGGGATTTTTATTAAATTTGGAAAAATTTAATTTAAAACTCCTATTCTGTTATGATGAATTTCAGTTTCAGTTTAGGTTTCTACCATTTCCTATTTTACTTTAATATAATATTTCAGTGCATAGCTGATAGATACTATTCTTTTCTTTTGCTAGGTAAAATAGTATGAATAGGCTTGGATTTGTAAATTAGTAATACAAATATGCCCAATGGATTGCATGCTTTCTCATGCTCCAGGAATAAGATCTGGAAAAGGCTAGCCTAACCACTGGTTATGAGTAATAGTGCCAATTCTTTCTAGGAAGTCCAAAGTACAATTCTTACTTTATCCAATTTAGTAATTTCCATTTCGTAAGTTAGAACATTTTCTCTATTTCATTTCCAGTATAGTTTTTTTGGTTTTTGAAAAAAGATTTTCTCAGGCAAAAATAATTATAATTTGAGAAGCAGATAGTTTCCACAAGCATACATTTTATTATATATAGTTCATCCAAAAAAGCAAGTCTGATATTCCCTAGCAGAATTTCTTTGATTCATTAATGAGAGAAAGGAATATAGAAAGAAAGAAAGAAAGAAAGGAAAGAAGGAAAGAAAGGAAAGAAGGAAAGAAAGGAAAGAAGGAAAGAAAGGAAAGAAGGAAAGAAAAGAAGCATTTCTCTGTTAT